CCCCAAAACCCCAAAACCCCAAAACCCCGTAAGAATAAACATTTTTTTATTATAGTAAAAAAGTCTCAGCAAATGTAAAATAGAATAAGTAATTATATTTTCGAATGGAAAGAAAATCAAGAATTTTAACAAGATAAGATTCAGTCTATTCAAACAGTAGTGCTTAAATTGAAGTATGAATTAAATTTGAGGTAATTCGTATTAGGAGGCGATAAGTATCTTATAAAAACCAATAAAGATAAGGAAATAGGGTGAAATCTAAACTTTAAATAAACTGATCATGGGCAAGGGTATATTTAATGACAAGACTTTTACTGAGGCAAACATCCACTTGCTTTCTCAAGTCTTGGCTTTGGAGAAGTTCGAATAAAACCAGAGAATCATTTAGTTAGGGGAGAAAGGAGATAAGTTTTATCTTATACTAAAAGGAAGAGTGAGTGTCTGGATTGAGGATAAAGAGCCGTTGGAAATGAGAAGAAGCATCATTATGAGTAATGCCAGCACATCTAGCCTTGGAAAGTTAAGTAAATGAGTCAGCTACATTTTTGACTAGACTGTAAATCTCTCAAGAACATTGAATAAATTACCTTAATCCTAAACTCAGGATCCCAATATCTAAGTTCCAAGTATTCTGAAACGAGATTCCAGTGTTAAAAAATGGGATTTTGTAAGGCATGAGCTTCTTGGCTAGTTTAAGTTAAGTGAGTTTACGAGATATCAATAGTTAAATCCAACTATCCAGACGACAATGAAATCTATGGACACAATAAATGATAATGATGTTTCATAGTCTAAATAGAGCCACGATCTTAAGGAGTAATCATTGTCTTAATTACAGAAGTAGAAGCTGAAAGTAGTATCTTATTTAGGCTCAATGAAAACATTTGGAGAGCTGGCATTTCTTACAAACCAGCCTAGATAAGCAACAATCATAGCTGAATAAGAAACTTACTGCGCTACGATTACAAAGAGAGCTTATAAAGATGCTATCAAGGCAACTCATATTTTGAATAAGGATATGATAGTAGAGTTTATAAAGCAAATGCCTATATTCCAGAGATATAGCAAGGGCAACATTAAGAAATTAGCTAGAATGATGAAATCTTAAAAATACATGAAAGAATAAGTAATACAAAAGGAAGGTGATACCGATACAAAATATATGTACATTATCTAAGAAGGTGAATTCTCTATTTATCAAAAATAACCTGAGCATATGTAATTAATGACAAAAAGTGCTTTAAATACAAGTACTGATCACAGTAAAGATTATGGCCAATAGTTGGCAATCTATGGCAAAGGGAATATCGTCGGAGAGGAATAGTTTTTATTTGCCAAAACTAAAGCATCTCATACCATAATATGCCATACTTAGCCAGGGCTACTCTATAAAATAGATCTAGTTGAATTGAAGAAGAATTTTGAGTCTCACTAAGATATTGTATAAAACTTAAAGTAAATGTATACTGAGAGATAGCAATAATACTAAGCAAGAATGCAAAAGCTTCACAAATAGATTAGAAACATTAATTTTGTCCAAAATAATATGCTAATTGAATAGAACAATAAAGATAGAGAGAAGATATTAAGCAAAAAGCAGATTGACTATAGCTTGCTTGAAAAGTACACTTAGGAAGAGATTATTACTGAGAAATACAGCTAGCAGCTGATTAACTAGTTTCCTTATGTCAACTTAAAGTCGATGAAAAGAGCTATGAGTAAAGATAACTTGAACTAAGCAGATGATGGGGAGAGTTTAAACCTACTAGAAAGCTTTGAAAAATCTCATCGTATACTTAACAAGAGTGTGAATAGTCTAAGAGCCATCAAGCAGTTGAAAAACTTTACTAGTAACGTGAATAAACTGAACAAAACCCTTATAAACTAAACTTAAAATATGTATAAGGAGGAGCAGATGAGTAAATTTAAGGTGCAATTTTACAACCAAAGCAATATGATATATGAATATGTGAATTAGCAGAAGATTGATGATATTAGACGCCAGGAATACAAATAGAGAATAGATTTAATTGAAGAAAGGAAGAGACAAAAGGATCTTGAGGCTAAAAAATTCAGGTTAAAGCCATACTGGCAGTATAACAGAGAAAAACTGCTTATTAAAAACATAGTTAAAGAAGATACTTCCTCAAGACTATCTAGGCAGCAGACTTAAATTTGATGATAAAGGCTTTTGATAAATTTATTACTTAGATATTGAGGAATATATAACTAGATTGATCCCAATTTTCCAATAAAATGTTTATTTTAAGATTCGGGGTTTTGGGGTTTTGGGGTTTTGGGG